AAGGGAGAAGATGAGGATTCATACCTTTCCAAAGGGTATTAGCACATGAATGTAATGGATTTGATTGGAATTCAAACTCAGCTCTCTCAATCTGAGCCGCTATCCATTACTCCACCGTGTCTCCTGAAGATTGTAAAGAAGCATAATTAAAATTTTAAACCAATTTAAAAATTTGGATAATAATACACATCCCAAATTATATACTGTTAATAATAGAAAAATTAGAAATTATCATATTTTCTGATAAAAACTCCTTATTAAACAAAAGAAGTGAATTGACTGTATATTGTAGGCATAGTCTTCTTTTTACCTTACAATATGATTAAACTTTAAATTTGATAATACTTTTTCTGATAGTATTTATTCTTTTATTTATTTCTGTTGTGCACATTATATAGCTTACTATTCTATTTGTATGATTCATTTTGATTTAATATTGCTTTGTATTGATGTTTGGTTAGTATTATTAACACCTTATATGGATGCTCTTTATTTAAGAGTTACATATTAATTTGCCAAAGTAATTCTGTATTTTTGTCTTGTTTTTTCGAACGGTTAAAAGTTATTTACCAGTTTCTTAAAGGGGCCTTTTATTTATCAACTACAAATTTTGATGTAAGAAGCTGAATGAGCATATAAATGGTTAGCATTGTGTTAATTAACTCCCCACTTCTTTTCACTTTTACTTCTTAGGAAAGTTGAATGATAGACTTTGATACATTTTAGCAAAGGTCACCTTCAATTGGTTAATCATGTCAAAGCCCACAAGCATATTTTTTTAAAGTATTCTGCTTTTGAAATTAAATTAATCTTTCATTTGCCAGTAGTTTAACATCAACCAAGGAGACACATTTGTAGTGTTGAAACATATCTGCCATTATGTAGCGATTTTTAACATGTTTTAATATTCTAAAATAAATAATATTTAGCTCAACTCTATATTGAGCCTTCTTTTAAATTAAATGTTATATACAGTGGAATTAAACTCCATTTGTTCTCATTTTACTTTGATATATATATACTGTATATACGTGTGTAACATGCAATCTCACATATCATGCGACCCCAAATTTTCGCATCTAAAAAATGATTTTATCATGTATCTTGTGTATCATGTGAGTTCCTTTTTTGAGAGACCAAATTACAATAGACTAACCTTTTTTCTTCTGTCTGTTTATCCCATCTTCTAGTGAAATAAGTTAAAAATGTAAAAGAGAATGATAAAAGTATCATTAGTAACACTATACTCGTTGCGTAAACTTGTACAGCAGTAAACAACCAAACAAGAAACAGCTAAACATCTTATAAACATAAACAATGGAAAAGATATATATTCGCTACATTGGTATTTTATAATACAATACTAATATCTGAATATTACATGCATTATTATTAGATACAGTTAAGTAAAACATGTTTTTATCAAAATCATGTTTATTTTAAATACAGTTGTACTTTTTGACTACAGTAAGTGGATATATAGTTTGGTCAACAGGATAAACAGACCCAGCAGTACATACATTAATTGTATATCTCGTGTATGATGCAACCCCCTTAAAATTAGCTTCAAAATTAGGTCTTCAAAACTCACATGATATGGGTATATATGCAAAAAGATATATATATATATATATATATATATATATATATAAAAGTGGTCACTGAAGTCAACACCCGGAAGCAACAGTCTGTTTCATGAAACCAACTGTCACCCCTGGGTGTTGACTTCAATGTCTACTTTTATATTTACAGAAGCTCTATCCCTGATATTGAGCATTTTAACCCATGAATATAGTATACATTAAAACTATGTTTTATCATATGACCCATGTCCTTTGTGCATACATGAGAAACTATATATTACTAAGTTTGTAAAAAATAAAAATTTACTGAATCAAAGAAATGAAATAGCTATTCTTTGCCAACATTGTTAAAAATTTTCCTTAAATAATATTTGAAAATAAAATAACATAATTAAAAAATTAAAAAATATGGGAGCTGGTAATATACATACTTATATTTGATATTTAATAATAATTTTTAAATAGTTTAAGTAATTCTATTACATTTATTTGTTTTAAAAAGAAATATAGTCTATTAGTAATTAAGAGTAAAAATAATATTTTAAAATTGTAGTTCAATATAACATATTCTAAACCAAACACCCCTTTTAAAAAGAATCTTTATGTATACAAGTATGAATTTAATGGAAAAAAAAAGCTGAAAACCTTTTTCTCGTTGATAAAAAAAAACAGATTTGGGCAATGTGTTTTATCCTCCAAGGAACTTTATCAGGGCAAATGTGATTAGGGTATTTGTCCTGATAAAGTCCCTCAGAGGATGAAACATGTTTTTAAATAGTAAAGAACTCGTTAGGTAAATAATCCAAAGTTCTTTAGTATTTTTGTTATTATTTTTAAAAATCAGTGCTCGATACAAAAGTAAAGCTTAAATATAATTATTTATTTAAAAATATGATTCCATCGCTACATAAGATTTCTCATGTTTCAAAACAAGAGCCGAAAACTTCAATATAATTATAATTAGATAGATAGATAGATAGATAGATAGATAGATATGTAAAAATTTTATATAGAGTATATCTTTAAAAGAATAATATGACAAAAGGAAAACTTAGCCAACATGTTTCATCCTCTGAGGGACTTTATCAGGACAAATACCCTAATTTGCCCTGATAAAGTTCCTCGGAGGATAAAACACATCACCCAAGATAAGTTTTCCTTTTGTCTTTATTCACACACACACAAACATACACATATTATATATATATATATATATATATATATATATATATACGTTATGTTGATGACTGACTAGGTACTTCAATTAAACTTTTTATTTAATTTTTCTTGTGTTTGTGCAAATGATTTCTTTTATGGACACAAAGTGCATAAAAACTGCCGAAATGTCCTGCATTTCCCAGTGCTTTCAGCTATACTTTTAGCCATTATCATGGATGATTTTATTTCTACTTTTTAACTGAATATAAGGGTTGTACATATGCTTCTACAGGTATAGGGATGTTTTATTTTCTAAACACAGTCAGCACATTGTGGCCATGTTCAGAGTTAATGTTATCTTGTATTGGCTTTTTTTTTTTAATTATTATTATGGCTTCCATTATTTTTAATCTTTTTTATATGTGGATGAGGTTATTATTTTTTGAGGTTATATTTTGAATTTTGAACTGTTCACACACATACATCCAGAGACACTCAAATCTTAAAGATGGTCTTAGAAGAAATTGAAAGTACTTGGGAAAATAAAAATTGTTTGGAAGAAAATTTTGGAATGTTTCATTAAATAAAACTGACAAGGTACTGTGGTTAAGTTTTTTTATTTCTCATTATGTTTTCGGATTTCATTATTTAAATGTTGAATTTCATATTTAGCTGCTGTTTAACTGCGAGTCAGTCATATTTAATGTAACTTGTATTAAAGAGGATTGCTATTCAAATCCACAATTACATATATATATATATATATATATATATATATATATATATATATATATATATATTCAACGCTTCAAAAAGTGTGGATGGTCCTGCACGAAGCCTTCACCACTATAATCAAATCTCATGTGCCGGTGTCGGGATGTCGGTTTCCTGGAAACTGATCTGCTTGACCCTCATATGTCGAATCTTGACGGGAGAGTCGACTATATATATATATATATATATATGTTTTGAACAATAAAAATATTAAAACATTAAAATTTTCAGACACACTAGGTTGTATATTAGTATTTTTTCTTTTATTATTTAAATTAGGTTCCTCAACTAGTTTTGTTTGTAGCAGTGAACTACAGGAGTGTGTATATACATATATATATATATATATATATATATATATATATATCATACTTATTATAAAACCTAGGTTGTATGTGTGTGTGTGTGTGTGTGTGTACGTTTATATATTGGATCGGATTTCCAACATTTTTCAGCTGATTTCAACAAAACTTCACAGAAAAGTGGAAAAACACAATTGTTTTGCACAAAATCAATTTGAAAACATGATTAAGAGGCATCACGAGAATGAAAGGGGGACAACTCATATCGAGTTATACTTATTATAAAACCTAAGTTGTTTGTGTGTGTTCGTTTATATATGGAATCAGATTTCCTACATTTTTCAACTGATTTCAACAAAACTTCACATTTTTTTGGGAATGTAGTGTTTCTTATTGTCTTGCACACTTTTTTCTTTATTTTTACATTCAGAATGCTTTAAAAATTCCATTTACAAGACAATTGTTTATAATAAAATTCTATTCAATTGGTAGACTCATGAGTTTGGGTTTGACCAATTCGTAAAAAAACAAAAAACAAAACAAAAAAAACTAATTAAGACATGCGTGTCCATCAACCTTAAACAATAATCTTTGTCAATTTTATTTTTCAGTCTTGATGGTTGATACTTGATCTATCTCTTATTGTTACATCCCGGGCAACACTTGGGCTCTACTAAGTATATATATAAATTTTCAGTATCCCATATATATATATATATATATATATATATATATATATATATATAATGGGATACTGAAAATTTTCAATTTGACCTCAAAAAGTATTTTGATTTTAAATGTTCATTGTATAATATTAAATTCCTATGATTAATATTCATCACTAAATTAAGTGCATTCACAAGGAAGAAGACGAAGTTGGTAAATGAATATTTTTTGCATAAAATAAATGTTTTAAGCTACTTGAGACATACAGAATTATCAGCATTATATATATATATATATATATATATATATATATATATGTGTGTGTGTGTGTGTGTGTGTGTAAGAGAGAATATATGAGAGTTAATCACATATTGAAAAGGAAAGAGATTATGTTTAAAAAATACCACATATACTTTTGCATATAACCGACTTCAAGTATAATGTGCCCCCCCACCAAATTCTTTGGCCTGAATTTTCACCCCTCCAGAAAAGATTTACCTGTGTATAGTGCAATCGGTCACTGAAAATTCATGATTTTTAACCTTTTCAAAAATATTACCTGTGTATAGTGTGACCTCCCCACCCCAATTTTTTGCATAAAAAAACTGATCATAAAAGCACACGCTATACTCAAGTATATATGCTAAATAGTTGTGTAAGATAAATGTTTTTTTTTTCTTTATTATTAGACTGAAAACTTATTAATGTATCTACATATTCACCACTGAATTAAGTGCATTGACAAAGAAGGAGATTATGCTGAAAACTAAATATTTGTTACATAAAATTAATGATTTTTTCATCATTAGGCTACAGACTTATTGATGCACCTACATATACTCACAAATATATATGGTTACATACATACATGTTAAGGGGCACATTGACATGGTGTAATGGTTAACAAGCTTGTCACGATAAATCAATTACAACTGAATATTGAGCTTGGTCCTTACTAAGTGCCTCATACTTTTGGCCTTGTGCCATATCTAATCTATGCTTATAAAATTACCATACCTACATATTAAGATGCTTGTAACTTGCTACCATTATAATTTCTTTCTTCTTGACTGTTTCCCTGGTGACCACGCTTATTTCAGTTAAGTACTCTATATTTAAAATAAAACCTCCCTCCACCGTCACCTGCAACAAGGCAGGTGACAATGAGAAAAATGTCATGTCTGGTTGGTGGTAATGTTTTTGAGATCGTTCATCAGCAAGAGACTTATTGTACCAGATGATTATTTTGCCAGCTCAATTCTATCCAATTTGTAACTTTCTTTGAGTGTGGAGAGAGACAGTCACAAATGTCTTACACAGATAAGCTGGAATCTAGTTCTAAACAACAACATTGCTAGGCTTCTTTGATTAATTGGCTTGAAAGAATTTGTACTTTGTACAGGAGGCATAGTTGGAAGCATTTAATAAATTTACTCTAATAATTTTACAGAAAGGCTTTTTTAATACTTTACTTAATATGACCCATATTGAAATATAATTAATAGTTGGTAAATAAGAGAAGCTTGTATCATACCAATTTGTACTTATTTAAATAGATGATTATGAACGGTAATTGCTATAATAGATACAGAAGTAGAAAAATGAGATTATGTTTTGGTTGACGCATCAACTGACACAATCATTTAACAATTTCTATTTGTAACTTGATTTCCTGTACGGTTAAAAAATGACGGCCATATTTAAGTAATTTTGCAGTTGAATTGATTATATTTTTTACATGAATATAATATCAGGCTTTGATCCTTAAATTTAAATCTATTGCTACAGACAAGGGAGAATTCTGTTTTCTTGTTTTAATAATTAAAAGTAAAAGAAACCAAAGGAAACTAAAACAACTCCTAATGTCAGAAAATGACGGCCATATTTAAAAAAATCTAGCAGTTGAATTGGTTATATTTTCACATTAATATAAATCTAGGATTTTGATTTATACAATTAACACTTTTCTTAAATGTAAGAAAGAATTTTGATTTTTAAATCATTAAAAGTAGAAATATCTAAAGAAAGTTAACAAACTGTAGCGTCAAGGAATGACAGCCATATTTAAGTAATTTTACAGTTAAATTGGTTATATTTTTGTAGGAATATAAATCTAGGATTGTCATCTCTACACTTAACTCTTTTGGTCCATGTAAGAAATAATTTTGCTTTTTAAATCATTAAGATTAAAAATATCTAAAGATAATTAACAAAATGTGCCATTAAAAAATGACGGCCATGTTTAAGTAATTTTGAAATTGTATTGTTTATATTTTCTGCACCAGTAATCTAGGATTTTTTTCATCTATACAATCAAGTTTATTGTTGCAAGCAAAAAAGGTATGCCCGTATGTTATCTATACAAAGTGATGCTGAAAAGTTTGCAGTCCAACTAACAAAGAATGAAAATAAAACAATTAATATTCATCCATTTGCTCATATTTTGGGAAGTGTGTCAGTCCAAAAACATTTTTTTATTACCCCCTAATATTAACATTATAATTAACACTTAACAAAGCACGTCAGCCAGTAAATTTCTAGAGGTTAACACATTTAAAGGTGAGAAAGTTTTTATAAATAAAGCATTTAAATTGTTTAGACTGAGTGATTGGCATTTATTTATGGCGTGTATTCAAAAAATAATTCATAGATAAACGTGATATCTGTTAATGAATTCAATAGATTTATCTTACCTGGATGAGATGAACGGGATATCTATGAAACTTGAATTCAGAAGATAAGTCCTTTGAACATTTATTTATCTATTAATTGTTATATATATATATATATATATATATATATATATATAGAGAGAGAGAGAGAGAGAGACAGACAGACAGACAGATAGATAAACACACACACACATATATATATATATATATAGAGAGAGAGAGAGAGGGGCTGATAGATAGATAAAAAGAGAGACATTGATAGACAGATAGAAAGACAAGAGAAACAGAGGAAGATAGATAGATAGATAGATAGATAGATAGATAGATAGATAGATAGATAGATAAAGACAGACATATATATATATATACATATATATATATATATATAGAGAGAGAGACAGACAGACAGACAGACAGACAGACAGAGACAGAGATAGAAAGATAGATAGATAAAGGGGGAGAGAGACATAGATAGATTAAAAGAAAGATAGACAGATATAGATAGATAGAGAAAGAGAGAGAGAGAAACACAGATAAATAGATAGATAGATAGATAGAGAGAGAGAGACAGACACATACACACAGATAGATAAAGAGATATAGATAAATAGACATATAGAGGTAGAGAAATAGAGGTAGAGAGACAGATATAGATAGACAGGCAGATAGATAGATAGATATAGAGAGATAGAGAGAGAGAGAGAGAGAGAGAGAGACATAGATAGAGACAGTGTGGCCATTGATGGTGACTATAAGTTTCACACTTCAATGTGATCTTCCAACCATTGCTATACTTACACTGTCTATATCTACTGCATAGCTGAAAGAATGCTTGAAATGTGAGACTGACTGTCACTGTGTAGTGTTGATTTCCAAGTCCACACTGTCTATATCATTAAACCATCAAGCTCCAATACTGAGCCATTTTACCATTATATATAGTAAATGTTAAATTATATATATATATATATATATACAAATTGAGATTGATTGTATGAATCCAGTTATCTGAGCTGCTGGCATATTTTATACAGAGAAAAAAGTTAAAATCCCCTTCCTTTCTGCCATGCAACAATGGCCTAGGGGTAAGATATTTGACTGATGTCAAATCAGTTGGGTTTTGATTCTGGCTTAAAGCAATCGGATGTCTAGCCACACTGAGGAGCTGTGATACAGCAAAACAGTCTGTCTGTGGATGACTATATATATATATATATATATATATATATATATATATAGATAGATAGATATAGAGAAAGATAGAAAAAGATAGAAAGAAAACAATGTGTACATAGAAATCTCTGCATGGTGACTCAGTTTCACACCTCTAATGATCATCAGACCATCTTTGTTATGGAAATAGAAGGGTTGTTCAATTATTGCTGCAAAATAAAGACTCATGTTTACCACAACAATGGAACATTACATTACTGAGTAAAGGAGAGCAGGTTGCATGACTGATAATATACCATGTCATATTATGCTTTTTTTTTAATCATTTCAGCAAAAGTAAGGCAATAAAACCACTAAGATGCAAGGGCTTACTGATTGTGAAATGATATGAGAAAAAGAAAACATTAAGGAGAGACAAAATAGAGCTGGAATTAAGAAGACAGAAGATAATGATTGATATTGCATTTAAATTTTTGAAGATCAAAGTTGACTGCAAAATGATGAAACAATGCTGAACATTTACTCATTACACCACCTGTACAACCAAGTTTACAGCACCTGGTATTACCAAGTGGTCACCCATCTAGGTACTGACCAGGTTCAGTATTGCTTAACTTTGATCAGGTGGGAACTGGTCTTTAAACATGATACTGCAGTAAGCCTTAATAATTATAGTGTGGGGATCTTAGTTCATGCTCACCCCAATAATAATGGTCCAGTTTTTGTATGTTTGTTTGGGACAAAAGCTGATAAGAAAAGACTAACTGCTGTATAAAATGATGATAACAATGAAATAACAAGAAATTTATTTTACAACAAAAATATTTTCTCCAGTCACAATGAACAATTTCACTCTCAACAAGGCTACATACTTTGAATGTCTATTAGGGCTATTCAATTCTGACTTAAAATAAAACCCATATACCAGATGTAACAGCAAAATTGTCCAAATCATGTAACAACATAATTGTCTGTCCCACATAATATTTAATATCTAAAAAACCACTAAACTAATTGAGTTTCTTTTTTCTAGATTTTCAGATAAGACAGTTAGCCATCTTGCCACCAGTTTGCATAAGAATCATTGAAAAACCCCTTGAGTTATTCAGCTAGAAATAAAACAGGTTAAAATCATTTTGTCTCAGCCCCACGATGTCTTCCAAACTGAGCAATGTTGAGAAGAAAAAAATCATTCAGGTTTTCAGTAATAGTACCAACATCCATCTTCAAAGTCCATTCAAAAACCCCCAAGAGAACAGTGAATAAATTAAAGAAAAGGAAACAGTAGAGAGAAAAACTGGATCAGGAGATCACAACAGGAAGAGGGATCATCATTTCAACTTAGAGCTAAATACATTCTTATTGTTCAAAGTAGTGTCAAATAGAGACTTCCAGTAAGATATCTTTAATCATTTCTAAGATACAACGATTCAAAGCATAATCTAACAATTGGACAATTTTGCCGCTTAGTAATGCCACTTGATGCAGTGACGAGAGAGCAGTCAATTTCAGTTTGTTTACAGTAGCCAAACTGAGCGGTTGCTTTTTTTAAGCCTGGGACAAGGCTGAAGCTAAATCTATCTCCTCCAGCAATGCTACAGCTTACAAGTCCATGGTGTCATTTCCTTCTGGGAATATATCTTTCTCAGATACAGAAAGAAACTCTAGCTTGCAGTCCTCAATTTGGAAAAACACAAGACTTACCATTTCCCCTTCATGGAATATGTCTTCATTTGGGACATAGTAGATGTATTTGACCTGCTTGAATCTGGTGTACTAAACATGGCTTCTCCAGAAGCACAGAAGAATTTCCATATTATGTGTAAGACTTTTCCTTTTTGTTTCTTCTTACAATGCTATTTATTACATTACTTATTGGAATAGTTGGCAAAAGATCAGCTAATTGCTAATCAATCCGAACTTTATAAAATGGTAAATAAGGATTTCCTTATAGTCGGTTCACATATTTTAATGATTTAGTAAATGTTTATAAATTTATGAATATAAAATTTTTTTTCATATATATTTCTTTATAAATTGGTAAATGATAAATATTGCATTGCATTAGTTTTAATACAATTGTACTAGTTTTTAGAATGTTGTAAATATAAAATTATTTTTTGTAAATGTAGTATGTTGAGATAAATGATGGTGACAGATCAATTGATTTTTGTTGTTTATATAAACTAACTTTTGGTTTATGAGCAACATTCTTAAAAGTAAATGGGATGGCATGTAAACTTATCTTTTTTATGTGTTTTTTATATTGTATTTTATATTTTTTGAGGAGATTTGTTTTGTGGGCTGGATGTGATGCCCATATATATATATAGCACAATGAGCAATTTTTATATATATATATTTATATATATTGACATATATATATAGTCAGAGATCAATTTGAAGCAGAGTACAACATAATGTTACTTCTCATTTAGTTTATAATCCTTCTTTCCTGATTTTTCCTTGTTATTTCGTTCTCTTATTTCCATTTTAAAAAATCTCATTCTTTTGGATATATATATATATGAGACACATCAGCATAGAAGATAAGATAGATGTGTTAAGTTTAAATTCATCCTGAAATTTGCATTTATTTGTTCAAATACCTTTAGAAAGGTATGACTTAATCTCTTCTCCCATTGGCTAGGGGTTAATAGCAGGGCAGACTACATTGGCTGGCAACCAGTCTGGGAGAAGGACAGCTCTAAATTCAAAACCAGTTAAGTGTGGGACTACTAGCAAACCAACCCATAAAAAGCTATTTCCTATGGAATCTATGGTAACAATACTCAACATATTGAGACTGTGGACTTAGTGTGCAAAAGGATGAGGTAAATAGTATGTTGAATTTCAAACATTTGTGTACTGAGGCTGTAACATAATTTACATGATGTTTTTTAAATTTAACAACAGAAGCTGTGGCATAACTGTTATAAGGCTGAGGCCTATATTTTGAGGCATTGACATGTGTTGAGGATGATATGGTGTGCCAGGACGTGGTCTTAGTGTGCTGAGGCTGTGGTCTTAATGTGCTGAAAACTGTCATTGTCATCATCATGCTGGATTGGCTCAGAAAACATTTAGTGTGCTGAAGTTTTGTCCTTCATTACTGAAGCTGTGGTCTCAGTGTGCTCATGGCTGTGGTTTTGGTGTCAACAGAACTGCTCATTATACGAGGAAAAAAAATTGTGGAGTGTGCTGAGGCTGTGGTTTTAGTGTGATGAAGCTGTAGTCTTAGTGTGCTGAAGATGTGGCCTTAGTGTGCTGGGCTGTGGCCTAGTGTCCAAAAAGGCTGTGGCCTGAAAAAAAAACACATCCCTGTGGACCTTCAGGTGTTCTGCAGGCTGTTGATCTTAGTGTGCTGAACAATACTATTTTAGTGTGCTGAGGCTGTGACCTTAGTGTGCTGAAGCTGTGGCCTTAGTGTGCTGAAGCTGTGGCCTTAGTGTGCTGAAGCTGTGGCCTTAGTGTGCTGAAGCTGTGGACTTATACTCAACAGGAAAGAGGATGAGGATCATAATCATCTACTACAGCATTTTTCAACCTATTTTTACGTCCCAACCACAAGAACCACATTTTGCATTGCAACACATTATACTTACATGTCAAAGAATCAAAGACAAACTCTGTTCTTTAGGTTCATTTATTTAACATCGACAATTTAGATGTATATTTCTTATGATTCACACATACTGGAATTGCATATATCTAATTGTATTATCAAGTTGGATGAATGAAAAAATTATTACTTAAAAAAAAAAAAAAGTAGCCCATTGTTAAATTTTGTCAAAACAGCAGCCAACTCACCGATAATTCTGAGACTTCAAATGAACACAACGCCATATTGTCTTACTACCACAGAAAGAATGTAATGGTACACAACTTTAACATAGAATCAGGAAGTTCACTTTTAACCTTGTCTTCTGATGCAACTGAATTATTCAACAATCTTAATTACTTTTACCGGCCATGAAGCTGAACATATTGCACACCTTTGTAGCTAAATTTTGGCATGAGATCTCTTTGTGTGAGAGAACTGATGTTACTCAGATCACAATGAGCTTGACAAACAAGATACATAAACTTAATGAGGACTATATATATATATATATATATATAAAACCTAAAGAGCCAGGCAAATATACCTAGGTTTCTCCTAAATGAATCATCAGGGTAAAACTGGCCCAAAAGGTAAAAATGGAACAGAATAATATTGCTTAAACCAAAAACAACCATAACCACGTGACAAGAAAAAAAAAAAAAAAAAAAAAACATAGTAAAAACACAACAAGAAATGGGGGTGTTGGGGGGGGTATGGGGTTATATTCTTTATTCACCAATGAAAAGAAAAAAGAAAACAACAAAGTTGAAAAACATTGAAGAGGCACTGTGGCAGCAATATTCTAAACATAGACAAATGGTAGACTTCTAGATATGTAAGATCAAATCTGGAGAGAAAAATTGTCTCTCACAATATATATATCCAAGTATAGGATTGGTGTATATGGAATAAATTCCAATAACCAACAATTAATATTCTTAAAAGACTGCTCAATACTTCAGGAGAGCAAATATAATCATACTTCAAAAATGATAACATAAAATTCCTTATAAAATCATACAAAAAATAAATTTTTTTTGTTTTCAACACTTTTGGTGTCTTATCAAGTGATGGTGTTAAGACACCAAAAGTGTTGAAACAAATGGCTATTTTTTCCTGATGTTATAACATGTTTATATATAATTTTGAAGGTTTCTTATATATATATATATATATATATATATATATATATATATATATATATACAAAAGAAATTAATAGATTTGCTAAGAAATTAATATATTTTATTTTTACTCGAACAATGTTTCTTATTACTCTAACCATTATTTTAGTGGTTTCATGTGTTTATGTAGACACCCTATTTTTTCTATTCAGTGTGAATTAATTAATTAATTATCTGTGAATTGCTATGCTTTTGGGGGAGTGGTTTCCTGTTAACATCTCTAATTTAGTATTTACTGTATTAAAAATAACAATAATATGAAAGTTCTAACAATACCTATTTATTAGAACTAGAGAAATTATAGAGAAATACTGGTAGTAGGTATTTGCCACCCCAGAAGGGGCCCATTTTAATATGAACCCTCCTCTACCATGATTTCATTTCATCCCCAAGCAAGTCACAAAACCCACTAGAATACTGGGTGGGGGAGAGAAAAGAGACTTTGAATGACTGATTTGTTTTTTATGGTTTATCAACCTGTTGGTGGTTATTTAAAGCCAAAGCCTATTTTGGATAGTAGGGGTTTACTTACGGTACCCTGTGTTACCCCATCTAGTACTAAACCGGATTCAACATTACTTAATGATTAACCAAGAACTTGTGTTTTCAGTGTGAATTGATGAAAAGTGAAAGAAACAGAGAGGGAATAAAAGAATTCAAGGAGACAGAAGATGATGACTGACATTATACATTTTTGAAGATCATAGTTGACAAGAAATCAAAAAGCCAGAAGAGAGTTCTACAAATGACAAGTGCAAATGAAGAAAAAACTATCAGCATAGAACATACATTTAGCAATTTCAACAGTGAAATTATAAGACCTGTCTGCCAATCTACAGGATGCCCAGTAAAAAAAGCTGCAAATTTATTCTCAAGAAAATACACCATCAGCTTTAATTGGTCCATCTCAGTGGCCTTCTAAAAGCTAAAAGAATGTTATGGATTACTGTATCTGGAGTATTCTCCTAAGTCACTTGCAAAACTGTCATTGTGACATTGTCAATACTGATTCCTCAAAGTGGAACTTAAGTGAAACTTGGGATGAAATTCCTCTTGACACTATCCGCAAAGCTACTGCCTCCCAGATACCATACCAAATGTCTACAATGATTGTTCATTTTGTTTATGAATCATCATAGCTAGATATATTCCTTTCTGGATTTACTGCATTTTTACTGGGCAACCTATAGTACTGCACTTAAATTTGTGAAACTGACATACCAAAGGAGAGCTCATCAGAACAATTACCATGAAAATACATATAATAGAGGCACAGGGGAGCAACAAGAAAGTGACTGAAGCTGAGGTGTCATGTCAGTACCAATAATGTTGCAGATTCTTCTTTGGATTTTTCAAGAATATCTAGATATATAGCAGGAGTAGATAGGTTTGCCTATCATCCAGTTCATATTTCTTTCCAGTTTTTGAACAAGAGTTTTATGCCTTATTTTATGTTTAGGATTTGGTTTCCAGTTTTGTCAACACTATACTTCTGACGTCTCTGCCTGAACTCTAAAATTTTATTCTGTAATTATTATTTTTTTCCACTCCTAATAGGAGTAAATTGGCTTGCCTATCTTCTAGTTCCTACTCCTCCCTGGTTTTTGAACAGGAGTAGAGGAAAATTTGTAAACTTAAGGAATCAGCACATATGCTAGGCCACAAAAATCTCCTGAGCCGACCAAGCATAGAAATGAATACAATATGGGAACCAGTAATAAGGAGTGCCAGAGAAAAGTGATAATAACAACAAAAGTTGCAATATGAGCTCTGGTAAAATAATGCAATGATAACAGCAAATAATTGCAATATGAACACTGGTAAAAATGACTGCTGTTTATAATACCCAGAAATTCATACACAGGACACATGGCACAGTGGATAAAGGAGTTGGTTAGATACCGTGACAGGACCCAAAGAGTGTGAGTTCAATACCCAATTAAGGCAGTGGAGAACTTTTAGAGGGAAATTAACTGATAACTGACATCCATTAAACATGGCACGTGGAACCAGTGAGCAAAATAAAGGGTTAAGTTCAACATTCCAACCATCTGAAGAAGGCCAGAGCATACAATGGGCGAAACGTTGTAATAGATATGGGGGATAAAGATTCTGACAATAGTCTGAATAATGTAAATACTGTACATAAAACCTCATCTCAGAAATATAGACAGATACAGAAGTAGAGGTTTATCCCTTGTTCCTCATTTACGATTGGGTTTCCGGTTCCTTCTAAAGTTTACTTCAAATCTATAGTTTTAATGTCTCCTAATTTAAATTCCCTAATTTATTCCTTCGACATTGTGACCTTTGGTGATCTTGACCTCTGCAAGACTAGAATTAACTGTTATCTTTCCTGCAGAGCCCCAAGAACTTCACTTCTTGACCTTTCTTACACTAATACAGTGGTTTCTCAACTGGGGTTAATGTAACATTATTGGGGGTCCACACAAAAAAATAGCAAAGTGGGAGTCCACAGTTATATTTTAGTGGTCCGTAGAACAATTTCACTTCAGAGCTGTTGTTACAACTGAGAATTGCAATTTCTACTGTAATCTATGCCATGTTAAAATGCTAAAGATAGAAAAACAATTCTAAAACTAGCAGAAAATTAGAGCAGGTAATGTAAGTTATAGCGTCCCTTTTACTCTACTGGATGTTTTGATTGTAAAAGTTGAATAAAAACTGAGAAGGATATTTAAAGGAAGGATTATACATATAAAGGAAAATTATATAAAGATTATAATCTCTTATATAAATTAATTTAATATATAAAAAATAAATAAGAATATTTATTTTAAATACTAATTTATTTTAAATAATATAAAGTAATTAATATAATAATAGGCTCAACATTGTGATCTTTGACTATTATTGACATTGATGGAGCCAAATATAAAAAAAATTGCACAGCAGAATCAACTACAGGGATCTCATTGAATAAATCTGCATTTTTTTAATTTATTAATTACACACATATTTTTAAATGGTTACTTTACTAGTGTACATAAATGTTCCATAAAATTTACATGTTAAATACAAGTTTATTTTCATTAAATTAATTATACTTCAAAGTAAACCAAATACATTTACTATTTCTGTAATACAATTCTTAAATTTATCTATTATCAAAAAATAGAACAAGCTTTTCTTTTTATCAAATGGTTATGGGGGTCCACCAAAAAAAATTAAGAATAAAAGTGGTCCATGGGTAAAAAAAGGCCGAGAACCATTGCACTAATATAACTCCACACAGTAACCCTCTACCTTGAATGTCTCTCGGTCATTGTATTGGGTGAATATTGTTAAAAAACTAAAAAGCACCAGACCAGATGTGGCAGCAATATTCAATGTATGGAAGAATAGTAGATTTATAAATGTAAAAGATTCTGGTAAAAAAAATGTCTAGCATGACATAGTGAATCAACTTTCTTAGTAGCAAATTAAGCAATTGTTAAAATATAATTGTTGCACTTTGTGTCAATGGAAAACAGGAGACGAAGAAGGCAGAGTGGGTTACTCTTATGGAGGTTAGTATCCGTAATGCTGATGGATGGAAATAAAAAAAGCTTCCTTAAGATTAATAGAGAGCAGTTTTGTTTTGGAGGCATTAAACTTAACACGCCACTTACCTAGTTAACAATAGATTGAAGGTCATTTTCAAGATCAGCTGCCAATTTGATATTATCAAACCTATCAAACTTACTATTAAGACAGGAGTAAATAGTCGTGTCATCAGCATAGATACCAAGTCAGGAAGTGGTGACATTGCGAGTTGGTAGAGACAAAAAATATTGTCTCTCCCTTTTTGCACAATTGGGAGGTGCTACTCAAGAGTTGAAATCTTTAGGAATCTGATACATCAGTTTCAATTTTGTATGCTGTCTAGCTCTGAATGCAAGACAAGACTGGTCTTGGAATTGAATGACCAGAGAATTCAAATTTAATAACTACAGTGGGCATATTTTTAGACAAAATTTTTTTTAATCATTATATTCCAAGCAAGGCAATAAAGCCACTAAGACTCAAGTAGGTTACTGAGTGTTAGAGAATATGAGAAAAAAAAACACTATTAAGGAGAGAGAACGATAAAAGAACAGGAATTAAGAAGGCATAAGATAACAATTGATATTGCATTTAAATTTTTCAAAATCAAAGTTGACTGGGAAGCAAGAAGCTGGAAGCAAGTTCCAAAAGTGAGAAACGCAATAGAAAAAACTGTTATCATAAAACTTATTATTACATCAAGCCAATTCAACTGTAAAATGTTGAGAATTTTAAATTATCTATTTAAAAATTGTTTTTAAAAACAGAATATTATATTATTTGTAAGAAAATTTGACATGAAAAATATTCTCTATGGATGACAGCTATTTTTATCTTCAATCAGTGTAATTTTAATAATAGGGCTTTATCATTCATTTGTCAAATTTTAAATGTTTGTTTTATCAATAATTCATTTGTCTTTTAATTTCTTTTAATAATTCAGGGCTTTCAAATTTTTTAGTAGCTTTTTAACAATAATATGGCTTTATCATTCATTTGTCAAATTTTAATAGCTGTTTTATTTAATAGGGCTTTATTTGTCAAATTTTAATAGCTGTTTTATTATTCTTTAAGACTAACAGTGAAACTACCAAAAGAGAACTGATACTTTACTTTGATCTTAAAAATGAAAGATTTTTTTTAAAAATTTCTGATAAAAAGCAGGTTAAAAAGGCAGATATTATAATAGGAATTGGCCAATCTTTGTAAGAATTTAAAAGGTATTACTAAGTCGTTGTAAGTTATTTTTCGTGAAGACTTAATGACAATTCACTGTCTAAATATTGAAATAGCAACAACAGCAGTTAATTGCGGTAAAGAAAATGTCTATTGCTTTCGGAAAAGAAGTCAGTCGTTTTAGTTTCGTACAATCTCGATAGGATAGAGTTGCAACTTAAATTTTTATTTAAACAATATATATTGTTTAAATAAAAATTTACAATCTGTATTAATACAAATGAATACTATCCCTTAATTTCCCCTTTTTTCAAATTTAATGTTTTTTTCTTTAAAGCTTCTTGTACTTAAATGAGTGTTGCCTAGTGGTAGTAGTAGTCACGATAATATTTTTTTAAAATTTTTTAATTACTAAGTATTAAACAAAAAGCTGCTCTTTTTAAATAGTTAAGTTAATTCATACAATTACAAGAAATAATAAATTTCATTAAACTTGTTATTAGGTTCTCATGGTTTTACTTTTACTTACTAGTTTCCGCCGGGTTCTCATGAATTGAAATGCTTTCCTTTCATCTTATCAATATTAATAAAATAAAAAAAAATATTTTTTTAATTTATTTTTCATTCATGGAACTTTCCGAAAAATAAAGAAAAAAAAAAGAACTTTACTAAATAAAATATTATCCAGATCATGTGTAGAAATTTTAAAACTTGTTTTTAGAGAAATAAATCCCGAAAATCACTTTTTTTTTTTTTTTTTTTTTGGTAAGCTATTTATTACCTTTTGTTATGATGATGTAAGCAATCAACGAAATAATGAAAGTGACGTAAATTGACGATTAACACAGAAAAACGGAGACAATAGACTTCGATTGCCTGCAGAAACTATACATTTTTATTTTTTTTAATTATTTAAGTCTTTGAGAAAAGTAGACCCACTTCTTCCAATGCTGTCCCATTGCCCGACATCTTGACAAAAAAAAAGGTCTTGACACTAACATGTCACAACGATTAAGGACTATAAGTGTGTATAATTGACTTGACTGCGAGTGAATATTTGGTCTAAATATACGTTCTTGCCTACGAACAGACAGATTTTGTTACACCCATTCTTGTGGCAAGATTCAGTAACATTAACAACAATAAATAAAAATAAATGACCAAATTCTGAAAAAAAAATGCTGATTTTCTAAAAATAACTTTCTTGAATCATGACCTGTTTTGGATTACTGACATAGTTTCTTTCATAAAAGAAAGAACTAGATTAATAAATAAATGTACTGTTGTAGGTAGAGACTAATAAATGAGCTATTTTTACTTTTCTTTTGCAATATTCGCTGATATTTTTCTAGGAAAAAATTAATTGTAAATTTAAAAAAGAAAGAAGCTTAGCTAGTAGCAATACTAGTAGAATCATTTTTAAGCTTGCAGGAAAAAAACAAACAAACAAACAATAGTAGTATTTGTAATCACTATTATAAAAATAAAAAGGAGTTTCCTTATTAAGGTACTAAGTACGACTAGACTACCAATCATTGTAATAGTGACATCAGTAATTTCTCTTAAAATGTTAAAAGCACATGTTTTTAGTTTCGTAAATATTATAAACAAATGTTGCATAAATATAATAATGAGAAATTTAGGAAAATAAATAATAATAACGAATTTTAAGATATAAATCTGGTCATAAAATCTAATGCAAATCGTTATTGTAAAATATTAATCTAATTTTAGTTTCACAGCACTAATGTTGCTAGTCTTTGGTGGCGTCGTCGTCGTCGTCGTCGTATTAAGTAATATGGCGGCGGCGTCGTCGTTGGTGGAAGAAGAAGAGAAGGCAATCAGAACACACATAACACGGCACAGGAAAGACAAGATGGCTTTGGATTTGTTTCATTTATTTTTCCTTTTCCAGCTTTGCTACAGCCATGTAGCGGCGGCAGCGGCAGCAGTAGTAGAGAGCCACAGTCAAGGTGAGTTTTGCCACAAACGAAAATAATAATAATAATAAGTTTATATTTTGTTTCTCTCACCCTAATGATAATAAATACGAAAAAGGAAAGACATGGCTGGGTTACCCTTGTCTTTTCACCAGATTTCTTTTCTTTTTTTTTCTTGGGTACTTTATAGAATTCTCTTGTCATCACCTATAAAAGACATCTAAAGACGGATGATATAATTAAACACGTTTATTATATTTAAGATGAAATAATCATTGCCTATTACGAAAAAAAAAAAAAAAACAACTCATTTTTGTTGCCTACTGTTTTTGTCTTAGACTTTTTACTTAAAAAAAAACCCAACTTGAAGTGATTTAAACGATTAAAATAAAATGAGGAATTGTCAGAAAATTAAATTCTTTTACAAGTTTAAAACAAAAATTAAGCCAGTGACGAAATCTTGGTATTTTTCCCGTCATAATGATAGTGACTTTTTTTAAAAAAGAAAGACATTTTTACATCCTATTTTGGCTTTATTCCCTTTTCAGTTGATGTCATCTTTCTATTTAAACAAGATTTTAGAAAAAAAGACAAAACTCATACAAAAAAATGAGACTATTAATAAAATTAAAACCTAAAAAGACTCGAGAGGCTCTATTTTTTTTAATATTCTGTCTTTCTTTAGTTTTTAAACCATGAATAAAAAGCAAATGTAGGCTTTTGTTTTTCTGATTGTCACAGTTTTCTATTTATTTTTTAAACCATAAGAACATGTCGAATTGACTTCCTTTTTCTTTTTTACTTTGAACCGAACAATTTGGCCTTTAGACCTTTTATAAATCCTATCAAATACCTTTTAAAAATAGTATTTTTGACTAATTTTAATTATTAAAATTATAATTTCAAGAAACTTTAGAAGAAAAAGTATCTTTCATAATTCTAGTTGTTTTTCTTTATCTCTCCCTATTAAAAAAAATCATTGTTAATGTTACAAAATGAAATTCATTCAAGATATAAACAAGTGAATTCATATATTGATTATTATAGCCGGTTTTTTAATTAATATTTCACAGTTTAGGCATTTATTTTAGTTGTTGTCAACTAAAGAAAGATTTAAAATAAAATAGTCTTTTTCAGCAAACAAAAATCCTTTTTCACAACAGGTAGATTGTCTTTGTCTAAATTTATCATTGGTCGTGGACAAAATAAATGCCAATGTTTATTTTTAATTACATATGTTTTTTTTTTTTATTTAGGTTTTATGTACTTGTTCCTGAATTTATCTAATTTAAAAATAAAAAGTCTAAAGAAAAATACAGTTCAAATTGCTATTTTTAGTAATAATAATAATAATGATCATAAAAAAAAAACTAAACATCCGTATTGTCTCCTCTCATGGAAGCAGATCTCAAAACAGGAAAATCTAAATCCTGGATAAATTTAAATATAAAATAAATTGTTGGGGTGATTTATTTAATAATATCTATCATTTGTTTTTAAATAAATCTTTTATTTTCTTATTAATTATCGTCATTATTGTTGAAAAAAAAAAAGCTATGCCATTTTTACAAACGAAGGTGATGCAGTCGACTTCCTTAAAAAAATACCATGAACTTTTTTTTTTTTTTTTTAATTCATTTATTTTTTTATACATTTAAAAAAAAATCTTGTTTATTTAAAAAAATAAAATAAAAGGTTAATTATTTTCTAAGACCAAATAAACTGACACTTCAATTTGTCAAATATTTTTTCTTTGTTTTCCTATGTTTGAGATTCAAATATTTTTCATTTTCAATAATTGCTGATTTAAAAAATATGTTCAAATTTGTTTTGTTTTTTTAAGTTCAAGAAAAATCTACTAAAATTAGTACAAAAATGAAGATTTTTCTAGTCACTTAAGAGAAACTCAAAAACAATGATTTTTTTTTTTTTTTTTTTTTTGTAATTATTAATTAAAAAGTTTTTTGTTTAATTAGCAATTATTTAAAAAAGAAAATACTTGAAAAATATTTATTCATTTTGAACCAGCTTGTGGAGTCTGCTTTAAATTGTGCAAAAGAAATAAAAACATATTGTATTTTTTAAAATTTTATTTTAAAAATTAATTATTGTTTTTATTATGGGGAGGTGCAGAAAAGATAATTTTAGAGATTTCTTTGTTATTCCAGGAGTATAATGATTGTAAAATTGGGGCCTTTTAGATTATTTAAATTAAATATTGTTACTTTTCTGGTTTTAATTTTTTCGTAATATCTGTTCTTTTTTACTATCTAGTTTTATTTGCCATCACCTTTCCTAAAGATCCTATCATAAAAAAGGAGAAGTCTTTTTAGTTTAAGGATAAACAAAAAAATCCTTTTCACTATCTGTTCAATAGGGAACAAAAACCTTTTCCCTCTGTCCCTGCTTTTGTCTTGATTTTTGTTTTGTTATATAGCTGTTTTTTTTTTTTTCTTCTTTTGTCTCCCTCCTTTCTTTCTTTCCCATGTGTTCAAGTCTGGATTTTTTTTTTATTCCCCCCCCCCTTTCATTTTGTATGTTTAAGTTAAAATGTTTATTATTCCTAAATACTTTGCTGTTCGAATTTATTTTTTAAATTATTAATTTTTACTAATAGCTTAAGCCTGAAATTTAGTGAAATGTCCCTAAGTGAAAGCCGAGATTCATTTTTCATTTAAGAAAAACTTAAAAAAGGGATTAAAGTCAATTTTTATAAGGAATCTCTATAATTGATAATTGTTATTAATATTTTTGAGATAATCTTTTGTTTTTTGTGCAGTGTCTCTTTTAGTTTTACTTTTTCATTTTAAACTTTAAAAAGTTTTTTTTTTGTTTATTAATTTCATGTTAATGCTAAAAATGTTTTCGTATTTGATAAATTTTATCGCAGAAAATTTAATAACTTTTTAATGATTTTTGTTTTTTATTGTTTAACTATAAAATACGTAGTAAGTATGGCTTGTTAGTACATGTCACCTCATCCACGTTTGAACTGCTGCTTCTCTGGTCATTCTTGTCAAATGAAAATGCTATTTTTTAATCATTATTCTTTTAATATATAAGTAAAAATTATTGTATTGAGTAACATTTCGTTTTCTTGGTCGAAACTTTTTATTTCATTGTATTGTTATTTCGAGTCTAATTCAGTGGTCCACCAAGTTATACCTCTCCTTCTCTCTTTTTATATATATATATATATATATATATATATATATATATATATATAATGTGTGTTTGTTATTTATTTACTTTTTTTTTACAGTTAACCCTAACCTTCTACTACTTGAATACTTGCTGCATTTCTATTTTTCAGCTTTCATACAAACAGATAAACATCTCACATATATAGTGGGGGACCTTGTGGAAGTAAGTATATTTTATTTTTGTTTTAATTAAAAAACAAAACAAAACATACATAACTATTTTCACTCGGTAATCTGCGTAAAATAAACATCACTAAAAAAAATTAATGCTACTAAAACTAGTTGTACTAAATAGTTGTTACTACAAACTTGCAGACTGACATAAAAAAAATGCTATTATTGTTTGTTACGTCGAATGAATTCGTCTCCTCAATTTCACTGTCTTATTTTTAGCATTTTCACCCACACACAAAGTAAATGATTTTTATAAAAACATATTTAAAAAAAAGTACACATTCAACTAAAAACTTTTTTATATCCTATTGAAAAATATAAAACGTTCGTAGTTTGCCTATTCACACTTTTAAGTGTGGGTTTTCTTTTTCTGTAATTTTTGTCAGCATTTGTCAATCATTGACCGAATTAACTTTTTACAACAGCAATTTTGGCATATATTAGTTACATACAATTTGCATGATGTAGAGAGAATTCCAACTCTTGCTTACTCACACTAGTCTGGTTTTAAATACCAACGAAAGTTTCTTGTTAATTATTATTTTATTTATTTTTGTTATCTTTTTTTTTTTTTTTTTTTCTTTTTACGATGTTCCGGATTATTTTCTTGATTTTATGTTCATATTTTTGTGCTGTTGTAGTTTGCCTTTCTATGAGTTTTCTCCTGAAGTTTAAGTTTCCTTCACAGCTGCTTGGCTATGTAGTTTGAATTGGGTGTATTTGGGCAGCAAATTATTCATTTTGGTTCAAATAATTGATTCAGGAACATCAAAAAAGAAACCCCCCCCAAAAAAACAAGGAACTTTAGGCTGTTTTAGTAAATCTTTTTGATGGTCGTTATTACTCATATTTTTATTTTATTTTTAATTAAAAAAAACTTGTCAGTCTTTCATGAAGTTTCAATTTCATAATTTTTTGCTGTTATCCAATAAATATCCTTCAGTCTTTTTCTGTTTTTTAAGTAGGAGCTTGCCCCCCCCCCATTTTTCCATTCAGAGAAATCGAGAAGGAAGTTTTATACTTGAAAGTTGATAAATTGTTCAATGAGCCCACAATCTTCTGTATATGAGAGAAATGAATAAACTTTTAATAATTTCTTTTCATTTATTCTTGCTTTATTTTTTTTAACATAAATTAATTTTTTTATTTGTTGAATAAGAAGAAATACTAGTGTATTATAAGTAAAAAAAAAGGGGGGGACTTTGGAAAAGTACAATCCCATTATTGTGTGTGTATATATATATATATATATATATATATAAAAAATTTAAGGAGTTGGTTGCCTAGTGATATTAGTTAAGTGCCATACATGATACGAGGTTGGGTGATCGTATCTCTTATGATTCATGACTGACGGGGCAGAAGATTTTCCTGCAGTAGACTAGTTGCCAAGCAAGACTATAGGACCCAGTTTGTCTTGCTATTTAACCCATAGCCGGGGGAGAACAGATGTACTAATACCTTTCCCAAAGGTATTGATGTGTAGGTGAATATAACGAAACCAACTGGAATTCAAACTCTGCTCTCCAATTTCTCCTGCTGAGTGGATATCCATGACATCACCCTGTGATAGGGCCCATTATATTTGTGGGTAAAATACAGTCCTGACTGCATTAGGGAGATACAAAAGCTGATGTGACATTAACCACTCTCTAGTAAAATTCATGTGACTTTAAATATAGCTTTGTAAATTTCACGTCAGTTAAAAGGAATTGCTAATCTTTAAGTATAAATGTTTCCCTGGCTTACGGCCATATCACGTTGAAACATTGGTTCCCATACAATCACTGAAGTTAACTAACATTGAGCCTGGTTAGTACCTAGATGGATAACTACTTGGGAATAACAGGTGATGTAATTTTGGATGTGTGGGTGGTGCAATGGATAATGACTCAGAATTGATGATTGAAGAGCTATGTTCCAATTTTTGTGTTCATTATATTGACTTATGCACAAATACCCTTGGGAAAGGTGTGCATCCACCTTTTCTCCCCTAGCTATGGGTTAATTAATTAGTAAGACTTGGTATCACTAAATCAATATCTTAAAAAAAATTGCAATCTAAAAAATATTTTCTGACTTTAAATAACCTACAATGAGTTGATAAGCCATAAAAATGAATCAACCAAAACAAATGTGCCCCCTTGCTTAAACAACTTTACTCTTGTAAAAATAAATATAAAATCTACTTTTACATAAATATCTTTTCTTTTCTCTGTGTTCTGATAAAATCTGTGCAATAAAGTTTTCACTAATCCCCCAGTGTTTGCCACTAGTGTCTGTACCTTGAAGTTACAAACTTTTAGTTATTTATCATTCCACTTGAACAAGTTATCATGCACACCTGATAAAACTTTGAAGAAAACTGCATGCTAATAATTTAAAGAAATCCTAACACAACTATTTTTATTGCATATCATTATTGATGTTCAGCATGTAAAATATTTAACACCTGACTACAAATGTTTTCAAATGCTGATAGGTATGCATTTAGGCTTCTTGAACAAGCAAATACCAAGTGTGACTTCTTGTTTTCATAGAAGTGTGCATAAAAAACACAGAATTATTTCATAAGAGATGATAGCATCCCAAAACAAAAAGTCCTCAATTTACTACTATAAATATTTTGTCATCTTCAAATAAAATGTGGTAGATTCCAGTTAATGAGGTCACCAATTAATCAATGCCTTCATTTATATGGGACATGAAACTATCTGATTGGTTTAGCATGAAAATCTAAAATGACACTCACCTTTTTAATCTACCTAAGTCATTGGTACTCTTATATGTTAGTTAATGCAAAATTCAAAGTTCTAAAAAAAAAAAAAAATGCAAGAAGTTAATCAATGCAGTTATCTTCATAAGGTGTTTAATAAATCATTAAAATGTCAATAGACATTACCAATTATTATACCTTTTTTTTTTTTTTTTTAAATTTAATGTTAAAACATTTACATTGTGTCTAATGACTATAAAATTTTTGTTTAAGAGTAATTATTTTTTTTCTTTTTTTAATAAGGTGAAAAAGCTTAAATTTTTGTTTTTACTATGCTTCCATATTTTCATATATGGACTAATCTATTACTTCGTATCAAATATAATTTGTTTCTGTAAACTTGTGTTTATAACAATTGTTAAATTGAGATAAATTATCATGAACAAATTTGATTTGGGAATATTTCAGTTGCAAAATGGTACAGTAACAGGTTACAGTGGGTAAAAGAAAATATAGATCATTAAAACCTGAAGAAATCCTAGATTCTCTCTTGGTTCTCTGCTATAAGAGATGTCTTTTATTTATAAAAAGTGTCAATCTTGTCTATTGAAATGTTTTCTTACATCAGACAATATCCTGATACTTTCAGACACACATGCATTGTACAACCCCCCCCCCCCCAACCTCCGACGAGGCTGTTTATATTAAACAATAACAATGGGGGGATGATGTCTCTTTGATTTACAGAGAAAAGCAGAAGTTTCATTATGAGTTGGCAGGGAAAGCTTTAGCAATATAAGATGCTAATGGATATTAGATTTAAGATGATAAATATACACATCTTCAGGTATTGTGTAAAAGGCTTTAAGATAAAGACTACAGAGTTGTTTAATGTATTTTGGTCCCCTTTTTTTTTTTTTTTTTTTTTTTTTTTAAACTAGAAACTTTATACAAATGTTAATCAAGAGGTTTTTCTTTTTCTTTAGCAATTTATAAGCTAAATAACTAAGGAAAATAGAAATTAATTTAGAATGACTTTAAAAATCCACTGGCATAATATGTATAGAGGCTAGATAAATAAATCTATATTCTGAAGATGAGTGGGTGTTGTAATGGTTAGTGGCTTTGAATGAGAAATTGGAGAGTCAAATTCACTTACATGCAAAACACCCTTGGGGAAAGGTATGGATTCATCTCTTCTCTCCCCCCCCCAGCTATGGGATAAATAGGGTAGACTGTACTATTAGGCTGTAGTTGACAATCTTGGAGGACATCTCTGAAATCAAAACTGTACATGGCCCTAGTGCTGTAATAGATACTTTAAGCAAGATCTCTGAGGTTTCGACCAAAGTGCTTCATCAAAAGCTCCTTGAGCAAGCGTTGTTGAGGGATCCACATAATGGATTATGCATTTATTAGTAGAGAATTCTGATTTACACCCATAACCAGAATGCATGATGATAGCTGCCACACTTTGTCAAGAATAGCAATTGCAAAATATCATTACAAGACCCAAATGTAACTTCAGATATAAAGCAATGTCTATGCATAATTATTTTTTCTTCCTTTTTTTTTTTTTTTTTTTTTTTTCAAGTAGAGAAAGACATTGCATTGGGTCAAACTCATTCTAAACAAGAATGGCATGTAACCAAAAAAGAACCAGTCAACATCATTGGATGATGTTGACTGGTTGCATCGTTTTTTTTTTTTTCTTTCTCTTATTTGGATACCTTAACGAAGGCTCAACGCTCCTAGTGGGCTTACCATGTTCTTGGACACCAACCCAAATATTTCTATATTCCCTGTGATAGATGTGTGCTGATCGCATGAAAGGATTCATCCTCCTCACCAGAAAAGACTGGTGGAGGAACTGGTTTAGTTATCAGTGACCTCACCATGTGGCATATAGTATTGGGTCACATGTTACTACTAGTACTCATAGTGACCTGATTATAACCACACACCTTTTTTCTCCTCAATGTCATTCATACTTATTTGAACTGAATTTTGATACAAATCTAGGAACATTGAGTGAGGGATAAAATCTATAACATGTTATTAAAGAAGCTGCATGCAGTCAAACATTTTACAATTATCCCGAAGCAAAATACTATTTTTTTAAATATTGTGCAAATCACTTATTTAAGCTGCGCGTGTGCATGCATATATAATTGTGTATTTAGGCAGCAAATGTTTTTAAAGACAACGGTTGTTTTGTGTTGATTAATTTTATTCATTAATATTTCATTATTTACTACAAAAAATTAAAAACTAGCAACCTAGTTATATCATAAACTTTCAATCCCCATTTACAAGACACATCCAATGTAAAAGATATTTTGTTATTTTGACATAGAAGATTGCTATCCAATGTTAAGTCACAGAATAGCAGACACAGATCATAATTTCAAGATACAGTTCTATGACATCATACCATGTGATAGACCAAATTATTACAATAGAACCAATGCCTCGATGCAATGTCTGTGTGTGTGTAAAATATATATATGCATGCTCATTCCATGTCAATTCACCAGGGCATTGCTCTCATTAACACCAAATTACTTGAAATTTGGCACAAATGTTCCCCTTCATGGGTTAGGAAAATGTGCCAAATCATTTTTTGCCAGACTTCATCATTCCAGTTTTAAGGGGGTGGTGGTGTACTTTTCCTATTTTGCCTCTAAATTAAGGCTGTGCAACGTCATTAAATCTCAGTGTTTTTTTTGTTTTTTTTAAATTAAAGAAAAAATACCTTCAATATTTCTGAAATTTGGTATGTAGGGGCAAATAAGATTTGTAGAATCCAAATATTTAACTTTTTTAGGCCTACACTTGATAGAAAATTTTATTTTACTCACCCAAATACATGACCCCAAAATCAACAACTTTTCACCTATGTAGCTTACGGTCAGTCTATCAAAAATACGCCCTCTTCAATTTTCATAGTATTTTTTGCCTAACATCTACAATGCCTGCTCAAGTTCAACAAAAAATTTTGTGAGGGTTTTAAGTCTACTTCAGAAGATATGACCCTACTAAGTTTAGCGTTTTTTTTCCTATGTATGTGCAGGATTTCCGAGAAAGATTATAATTAAAGACAATCATCCTAATGCTCCATGACCTCTAAAATGTTGATATTGTGCTAAGTAACTTCTTAAACTATTCAATAAGATTGTTTTTATTAATTTAAAAAAAAAATTATTTAAATATTTTGCAGATATTACTTTCTGTACAGATAGATTGTCTTTAAAAAAGTGGTAAACATTGCCTCGTGCATGATAATCAACAGTGCATAGAAAATTTGTAAATGGCACTTAACAAATGTAGTTAAAAGAAATTCTTTCTGTTTGTGTTTCTTTTCATTTTATTTTGGTAAATTATTTTCATGAAACAAAACATTTGATTTTTTTTTTTTTTTTTTTTTTCATTTTCAAAAGTCAAGATAAATGTGAATCTTTAAAACAATATTTGTAGTTGGCACTTAACATATTTATATAGTTGAAGGAAATGCTTTCATTACTTTTTTTTTTTAAATTTTTATTTTTTAAATAATTTTTCAAAATTATTTTCATGAAACAAAAATATTTGATTTTGTTTTAATCAGAAGAAAGTCATAATAAAAATGAATATAAAAGTCTTTAAAAGATTACATTTAAACTACACTATGCACTAAATTTTGTTGTTAATTTTGACAATTTTTTTTTTTTTTTTTTTTAATACAAACTCACACAATTATAAAATAGAGCAGTAAAATTGCAAATATTTTTATACAGCCAGATTATTTACTTGTTGAAACCTTTTGGTTGTCAGGATAAAATTACAATACTCACAGAGATACGTGATTAATGATATTTTAATCATGTGTTGTCACCTAGTGTTTAAAGAAAAAGTTGCTAACTCAAGAACTCTCCATTATGTCACTGAAAGAGACTTTGTGTTGAGATAAAGGTTGCTATTATTTATAGAAATGTATTACTTTCTCTATTTTATCGAATTATAACATTTCATCGATTTATTAGAAGTACATATGAAAAGTTCATACATAGGAAATAGTTGCTGAAATTTTTATTGTAAAAATTCAAAATTTATCTACATATTACTCAGCACTAACATTTCCTTCAAATATTTTGATAGATTT